GACTCTCGGAGGTGTACACGTGTCGGACATAGTCTCTTCTCTTCTGGACTAAATGCTTGTTTTCCTTCTGAAAAAGCAATGGGAAGCTGTTGATCTTTTAACATAAATAATTCAGTTTAATCTAGTACGTGTGTGCTTGTGCGTGTTAGGTGGGGCGGGCTTCTGGGGGCGGGGCCGTTGGCAGGAGGGGAAGGGCCCGGGGACCAGCAGGCAGCTTGGCGCAGTGAGCCAGGGGGGCTGTGGAGAGTAGCTGCTCCTTTTTTTTTTTTTTTTTAATATATATTTTATTTATTTATTTGGCAGACAGAGATCACAAGCAGGCAGAGAGGCAGGCAGAGAGAGGGGGAAGCAGGCTCCCCGCTGAGCAGAGAGCCTGATGCGGGGCTCGATCCCAGGACCCTGAGATCATGACCTGAGCCGAAGGCAGAGGCTTAACCCACTGAGCCACCCGGCACCCCGAGTAGCTGCTCCTTGACCCATACCTTACTAGTGCAGTGGTCCAAGCTTTATAGACAGTGGAAGGGAGGTATCGAGAGGGAAGTAGCCTGCCCTCACTGGACAGCTAGTACCTGCGGGAACCTGCATTCCAATTCCAGGCTCAGAAGTCTGCGTTCCTAGTCTGCCCCTTCTCAGCCTTGGCTCTCCCTGAGTCTCTAGGCCAGGGTCATCCTGGGCACTGTCTGCTCTTGGGCAGTGTCCCTGGTCTCCACCCACTCAATGCCAAGGGGACCCCTTTACCCAGGTTGTGACAACCTGTGTCTCCAGACAGTGTCTCCAGACAGTGCCCGGTGTCCTGAGCACGTGGTCGCCCTTGGCGAGTGGCCCCACCCTGCCCTAGCTGCCTCATCCTCATAACGCCACCTTCCTAGGATGTGGAGAAAAGGAGCTCTCTTACACCGCTGGCAGGAATGCAAGCTGCTGTAGCCCTTCGGGAGAAGAGTATGGCGGTTCCTCAAGAAGTTAAACCTCGGGGTGCTTGCGTGGCTCCGTCATTAGGTGTCTGCCTTTGGCTCAGGTCATGGTCCTGGGGTCCTGGGATGGAGCCCTGTGTCAGGCTCCTGCTCAGCGGGCGGCCTGCTTCTCCGTCCCCAGCTCCTTGTGCTTGTGTGATCCCTCTCCCTATCTCTCTGTCAAATAAATAAATAAAATCTTCAAAGAAAAAAAGCAGTTAAAAATCGAGCCACCCTATGACCCAGCATTTGCACTACTAGCTGCTTACCCCGAAATACGAAGCCACTCATTCAGAGGGCTGCGTGCCCCCTTTGTTTACAGCAGCATTATCAGCGGTAGCCGGACCGGAAGCACCCGGGTGCCCTTGGGTGGCGACTGGGTGGAGAGGACGTGGTGCGGTGCGGTGGGATGTTCCTCGGCCACAGAAAGGAACGGGGTCTTGCTCTTTGCGGCAGCACGGACGGAGCTGGAGCGTGGTGCGGGGGGGCAAGGTCAGAGAAGGGCCAGTGCCGCGTGCGGCTCATCGGTCTCCCCGGTGGGATCTGAGAGACACGTGAGCAAAGGGAGAAACAAAAGAGAGAGACAAAGCAGGAACCAGACTCTTCAGTCCAGAGAATGGAGGTCACCGGAGGGGAGGAGGGTGGCGGGATGGGCAGCAGGCCTGGGGGTCAGAGAGGGCGATGGGCAGCAGGTGGTGGTAGAAGCGTTGAGTCGCCGTGTCACCGTCACGTATCATGCACGTTGACTGCTGGAGGGAAATAAAAACTTAAAATGGGCGCCTGGGGGCTCGGTGGGTTAAGCCGCTGCCTTCGGCTCAGGTCATGATCTCAGGGTCCTGGGATCGAGCCCCGCATCGGGCTCTGGGCTCAGCGGGGAGCCTGCTTCCCCCCCCCGCCCGCCTGCCTCTCTGCCTGCTTGTGATCTCTGTTACGTAAAGAAATAAAAAATCTTTAAAAAAGAAAAAATTCAGGGCCAAGCTTACAGAATGGTCGCATGTAGCTAACAGTGCAGATGCCGCTGCCTGCGACCACGCACTGTGTCTTGCTATAGCTGTTCCTGTTTCTATTTGAAACCACATATTTGGGGGGTACCGGGGAGGCTGAGTGGTTAGGCATCTGCTTTCTGCTCAAGTCATGATCCCAGGGTCCCAGAATCGAGACCCCCATCGGGCTCCCTGTTCATCAGGAAGCCTGCTTCTCCCTCTCCCACTCCCCCTGCTTGTGTTCCCTCTCTCGCTGTCTCTGTCAAATAAAGTCTTAAAATATATATATATATATGTGTATATATATAGTTGTCATTGGACCATTTGAATGTAAGTTGCAGACGTTTTCACTCGATCTCTAAACGTTTCAGCATGCATCCCCTAACAAGGTCATTCTCACACAGCTTCCTCTCGCCTGGGGTGTGAACAGGAACTCCCCACGCTTGCCGCATTCTGACTAGAGTGCTGTTCCCGGACTGTGTTCATAGGAGCCTTCCTGCCGCCTGAGGTGTGCCTGGGCTCTTGTCTATCTAGCCTTCCAGGTGACAACTTTTTTCCTGTGATTGTGTTTTAACTTATTGTTATAAAAAATTGCAAACGTTGGGGCACCTGGGTGGCTCAGTGGTTGTCTGATTCCTTTTTGTTGAGAGAGTGAGTGAGCACGAGCAGGGGGAGAGGCAGAGGGAGAGGGAGAAGCAGGCTCCCCGCTGAGCAAGGAGCCCAATGTGGGACTTGATCCCAGGACCCTGAGATCATGACCTGCACTGAAGGTAGTAAGCATTCAATTCTTGATTTTGGTTCAGGTCATGATCTCAGGGTCCTGGGATCGAGTCCCCATCACGCTCCTCGCTCAGCGGGGAGCCTGCTTGTCTCCTCTCCCTCTGCTTGCGCTCTCTCTCTCTCTCTCAAATAAATCTTTTTAAAAATTTGCAAATATTTATAGAATCAGATAATCGATAAGTGGCTGTGCCCAGCGCCAGTGTTCCCAACTCACGGATCCTGATGACTTCCTGGAGAGGCCAGGCTGTTGAGAGGGTCCTTGAGCCCTGGATCCACTCGGCAGACGTGCTCAGGGTCATGGACAGTGAGGGCTGAGCTCCCGTTCTTACTCAGTGGGCTTGCCGTCCTCTTGAGCGGAACCACCGCACAGCTCTCACAGGCCAGAGGGCCAGGCAGCCGGGGTGGGACGGCATCCCAGCGCTCCCAGGCTCTCTGGCACAAGCGTGGGGCCATCTTGCCAGGTCCCCACGCTTGCCTCGAATCCGCTCAGCTCCACCCAGCCTCACCCTCCTCCTGGACTGACCTCCCAGCATAGTGCCCACTCCCTGTAGGAGAACCCCGGGGCCCCTTGGGGTTCTCTGCCTGGCTCCAGCTCACTTGGCTGCCCCCTCTCTGTGGGCACACCCCCGCCCACCACCTGTGAGCTCCCACCACACTTCCCAGCCACATAGGCCTCTCCTCCCCAGAAATGCCCTGTGCTCTCCTGGCTTCAGGCCTCCACCGAGTCCACCTTCTCTGTGTAGAAGACCCTCTCTGGTGTCATGTGGGAGTCCCACTTGCAGCCAGATGGCAGGATCCTCCCTCCCTTGTGCCCCGAGCCGTCCCTGTGTCTCTTTGGCTTTGTCTGTGTCCGCAGCCCCTGGCTGGATGCGGGGCATCTCCAGCAGGGTTTGTGGGAGGGGAACGTGCGGTGGAAGAGCGGGCTCTGGAGGAGTACGGGGGACGGGGCTGCAGGCCTTGAGAAGAGCAGGCAGGGCGGACAGAGCCTGGACAGAGGCCTCTGAGGGGAGGGCGTGGCGCACACGAGGCTTTCCCTCCGGCGCACGTGCTTGTGGTCACAGACCCTTGAGATCCCAGCCCAGACCCCCCCATACTGCAGGCCATCACTGATGTTCTGAGCGGCTGTCACCGGGTGTCTATGGTCACAGACGCCCATCCTCTAGGCTTCTGCCGCGGAGCCTGCACAGAGCCGCTTGCCCGTGGCCTAGCAGGTCGCAGGCCAGAGGGCAGCGGGGGGGCGCCGCGCCGGCCCACTCTCTCACGCACAGAAGCCTACGGCGCTGCCTGTGGTGCCTTTCTCGCCTCTGGGGTTTCCTTGAGGATCTGCGCTCACTGTGTGTGGCCTCGCCGAGCAGAGGGTTTCTCTCAGCCTGTGTTTTCCTCTTGGGACAGTAGGTCATGGACCTTTTCCTTTGACTCTTGTGTTGTTTTGCAGTCCTTGAAATTGCTTTCAGGGCTGTGTGCTTTGGCCAGAAAATGGTTGGAAAGCCGGTCCTTTATTTGGTTCAGGGTTCACGGTAATAATGTTAACATCTGTGCCATGTGTCATTATTATACACAACCTTTTTTTCTCTATAAAGGGAATTGCAGTTGGCAATTTGTGGTTAAAGACCTCAGAAGACCCCATAATTCAAATAAGATTGGGAGACCAGGGTTGTCTGAAAGTGTAGGAGGGCCGTGATGCTTCCGTGGTCGCTGAAACAGACCAGCACGCTGAGCGGTCCCCGTGGTCCTTGTGGCTGGCTGTGGCACGTCTTCCACTTGGCCTTCCCTGCCCTCTGCCGTGTCTCTGCCGCTGGGGTCCTAGCAGGTGTTTCCAGAGCAACCGCCCGCACAGGGTCCTTTTACTGCTTCTGCCCCCAGCCCACCCCTGACATCTTTCTGATTGTGTAATTAAACATTACACAGCTTTGGAAATTCAGAATGACCAGGCTACTGGTCAGTGGGCTGAGAAGCAGAAGGATAGTCAGCAAGAGGTCCCAGGGCCACCAGGAGAGGGTCCGAGGCAGGAACAGAAGGGACGCATGGAGGTGGGGTGTTTCTAGTGACCTGTCGTGGTGCCTTGAGGCAGAGGCTCCTGGTGCGGACGGTATAGCCTTGCCTGCTCTCGTGTTGTGCTTGGGTCTTGGCCTTGCTCCCCAGAGGTGGGATTGTCCTTGCGTTCCTGAAGCGAACGTGTGGGCCTGGCCCTGAGCACAGGCCCTGCAAGTGCCGACCGACACTGGTGACGTACTGGGGCCCTGGGAGGTGCTGCTTGCCCCTCAGCTCGGGGCCGGGGTGACCCTGTGCCGTTTGTTCCCTTTGCAGTCACAGCTGTGCCGCTTCCACTCTGCCCTGCTGCAGAGCAGCCGGGACCCCCAGCTGGCCCCTGCTGCCCTTTCCAGGAGAAACCTCCGGGTCCTGCCTGCAAGGTGGTGAGTTCCCCGCAGCCCTGGGTGCCCTCTGTGGCCTGTGCCCCTTGCCAGGCAGGGATGGAAGACCTCCCTTGTGGGGCCCAAGGCCGGACTTCTCTGTGCCTCCGCCGGCACGACAGATGGCGTCTGCTCCTCCGTGTGGTGGCCTGGAGTCGCCAGCCCCGGCCCCCGCCGGGGACTGGCGCTCCTAGGGCGGGACTCTGCTGGCGGCAGCGTGAGCACACGGCGGCTAGAGCTGTGGGCTCTGGGAAGACAGTCACCGGCTCAGAGCGAGCAGAAGGCCTGGCCGCTGTGGCTAGAGCCAAAACTAGCCGTAGAAGGAGCGAGAACTGGAGGCAGGAGGGTTCCAGGCCTGAGGCCAGTGGGCAGGACAGCGTGGGAGTGAGGCAGGAGGCGTCAGGAGGCCAGACTCAGGCCTGGCGGGCTGCAGTGAGTTACCTGAGCCCACACTCGCTGGTGACCTCGGCACAGACGTGTGACTCAATGCCGGGCTCCCGTCGGGGTCTCCCCTTCATCCCCGTCGCCCACGCATCGTGCCCAGCTCTGCCGTCCTGGCACTTGGCAGTTCATTTGGGCATCCTCAGGGCAGTGGTGGCTCGCACAGCACAGGCCTGTCCGGTGGGGCTCTCAGCTCTGCCCGTGAGCTGCTTTCCTGCTCACGGGCGCTTGGAGCGTGGCGTCCAGGGAGCGTGCGGGGCTTGGGCTAGGTGATTGGGAACGCGCTGGTGAGCACATGGGCCTCTGGACCCAGTGTCGCCAGCAGAGGCTTCCGGTGCAGCTGCAGCTCCCCAGGGTGAGCCGGACCCCGCCGTGAGGGCCCGCGGGCCATGGGGAGCAGAGGCCGGCAGAGCCCTGGCCTGGAGGCCGGACAGGAAGTAACCCACACCACACGCCTCTGTCTCCCTCCAGGTCCCTCAGACCCCAGCCCCTGTGGAGGAAGGTGCTCTCTGCCACGGTGCTGGGGGTCCCCCTGCTCCTTGGGGCCCACTACCTCGCAGCAGAGCCTCAGGAGAAGAGAAGGATGAGGCTCGTAGTGGACGGTGTAGGGCGCTTCGGCAGGTAGGAGGGGTGGGGGCATGGGACGTCTTTCTCCCCCAGCCAGTCCTGTCCTGAGATGTGTGGAGCCTGAGCTGGGGCTAGGAGGGGCTGCAGGGTTTTGCTGGAATCTTGCAAGCCACCTTCCAGACCCTCCAGTGCTGCCGCAAGGACGTGGTGCTGACGAGCCGTGTACCCGGGACGCGGCCTCTTCCAGACCCTGCAGATCAGCCTTGGAGGGCAGAGAGCTGGTCCGGCTTCTGCCAGCTGGTGGGCAGACGGGCAGCTGCCTCCTCCTCCTCCTCCCCTTCCCCTTCCTCCTCTTTTTCTCACCTCCACTCCCCCAAGGACAGTGGGCACCCAGAGGGCTCGGGGGCTCGGGCGGGAGGGCTGCCAACCCTCCTCCACTCCCCATGGACTGGACTAGAGACGGACAGTGTCTGGTCATTAATATCAAGGGTGCCTTAAACTGAAGGCCTTCCTCAGACTCCCTCATCTACCAGTGCTAGATTCCTGGGCTGGGGCTGATCTTCCTGTCGGAGCCCCTCGGACAGACGTTTCTGCTGTTGGTCAGACCGGGGAATTCCTACAGCCAGGAAGTCCTGACAACCAGTTCTTGGCTTTGAGTGAAAACTCAGTCTAAGCCAAACCCACCGCTGGGCTGGGCTGGGGGTCTCATACTGCTGCCCCAGGAGGCGGCTCACACGCAACCTTGCTCGAGGCAGCTGCGGGGTCGGGGCCTACGGCTCTGAGCACCTGCAGCCTCGCGACCCTGGTCCATCTCTCAAGGAAATGCTTAGGCCTTACTAAGGCCTTCGGGCACTTAGCCAGAAACTTCGCTGAGATTTGTGCTCATGGAGACCGTGATCGGGTGAAGGCTTGAACACTTCCTGCCATGGGGACAAAACAGGCTCTCCATTTTTTTTTTTTTTTAAGATTTATTTATTTATTTGACAGACAGAGATCACAAGTAGGCAGAGAGGCAGGCAGAGAGAGAGGGAGAGAGAGGAGGAAGCAGGCTCCCCGCCGAGCAGAGAGCCCGATGTGGGGCTGGATCCCAGGACCCTGAGATCATGACCTGAGCCAAAGGCAGAAGCTTTAACCCAGGCACCACCCAGAGCCACCCAGGCGCCCCAAGAAAATGTATTTGCACAGCTTGCTTTCAGAGGCTGGGCTGGGATTGGAGGGAGGGAGCTGGAACTAATTCTTTTCTCAACATGTTCTTGTCAACTGTAAGCCCCAGCCATTGCCAGGACAGGCACAGGGTGACCACAGGGCCTCCTGAGTCCGCGGCATTGAACGTGGGGGAGGCCGGAGCGCAGGTGGGGAGCAGTTCAGGGCTGGCTCCCCGCCCGGGGGTTGGGTGCACGTTCCGCTGCAGGAGAATAGAACACGCCCCGTGTGAGTGAAGGCTCAGAGGTGGGCGGTGGGAAGTCCGTGTCAAGGCCTTGCTCTCCCACCCCTGCCCCCTATTCAGTCGTAGCTTTTCAGAAACCTGTGGTCTTTTTTTTTTTTTTTTGGACACAGTTTTAAATGTCCGGAAAAGTTGTAGGAATTAGACAAAAGAACTTTTTTCTTCCTGAAATGCCTACAGAGGAGTTGTCAGTGTGCGCCATTGCCCCGTAAGCTGGGGTCTTTCCTAAACAAGGGCGTTTTCCATGAGCACCGTCAGGACACTGGTACGCTATGAGCCTCTAACTTCCTAAGCTCACCTGCCTGTCACCAGGATCGCATACCAGGCCCACCTCTAATTTCCTGCGGTCTAGAATAGTGTCTCCTTGGTTCTTATGGCTAAACCTGGGCTCAGGCATGGCCCCCCAGACCCCCATGTGGGCCCAGGGCTGTCAGTTTCGAAGGCTCCCTGGGCCAAATCACAGGACTCAGGAAAGTGCCGTACTCTGGGTTGAGCTGTTTTCCCAGCAAACAAGAGACAAATCAGAGCGCAAGGAAGAGGTGCACAGGGAGAGCCCCAGATTCAGAGTTTCCGTATCCTCAGAGACCTGCCCTGTCGCTGACAGGCTGCCGCGCACCCGGTTGGTTCTGGGAGCTTTGTGTGCGCGGTTTCCACGGGAGCCTCCTTCCAGGCAAGACTGAATCGTGGGCCTCCGACTGACTGTGTCCAGTCCCCGTCCCTGCCCCCAGCCAGGCTGATCTCTCGTGGTCTGAGCGCGTCGTCAGTGTGCACTGTCCCTGCCCGTCACCAATGCGGACAGTCCTGTCACTCAGGAGATGGGGGTGGTTCAGAGACCACCTGCCAGGAGCTGGGGCACAGGCCAGGCCCTTCTGGCTGAAGTTAATTATTCACCACCCAGGGACCTTGACGCCTTGGGAGGCTCATAGGCCAGTGATGTTGGACAACGGGGGTCAGCAAACTGTGGCCAGACTTGGCTGCTGCCACGGGATGCGTAAGCTTCCTTGGGCTCGTGGTCTTCTCCGCTCTGCGTGTCGCGGGCAGCTGCCGGCTCTCACTGCAGCAGCCGGGGGCAGGCCTAGGGCTCAGCAAAATCCTTGCCGTCCCACTTTGTCAGGAAGCATGTTGGTGACCCCTTCTGTAGGGGGCCCCTCCGTCTGGGTCTGAGCGAGGCGCACAGGCGGGTTCAGTTGGTGCCGTTTGCCGTGGTTCTGCCCCCGGGGCGGCGGTCCATCCGGGCCACTCTTCTCGGAGCGACGTTCGAGGTGGTCCCTGCGCCCCACTGCCCGCTGGCCCAGTGCCTCCCAGGGCTTCCGAGTGAGTTCATTCCCACCCTGGCCCCCACGTCGTGGCTTTGCTCACTCAGTTGCTCCACAGATGCTACCTGCCATCCTGCTGGTGGGAAACACGCTCTTCTCCCCACCCACTTGTACCCGTCCGCACTCGGGGGTCTCTTACTGATTGTATGGGCCGCTGCTCTCCGCCAGCATCAGCCGTTTTCTTGTTGCTGACTGTTCCAGGTTTAGCCTTTGTGATCCTTTCTTAATTTCCAATTTATTTGTTTGTTTGTTTGTTTGACAGAGAGGGCACAAGCAGGCAGAGAGCGGGGGAAGCAGGCTCCCCCCGAGCAGGGAGCCCGATGTGGGGCTCCATCCAGGACCCTGAGGTCATGACCTGAGCCGAAGGCAGAGGCCTAACCCTTGAGCCCCCAGGCGCCCCTGCGGGGTCTTTTGTCTCTGGCATCTTACTGTAAAACATCTCGAGCCGTGGAGCTGGAGACACCACACCGAGCCTAGACTTGGGCGTTACGTCTTCGGACTGTCGTTCCAACTCCGCCCGGGGTCCGTTTGCAGGGTCTCCACTTCTGGGGCTTTCTGTCCCTCCACGCACTCAGACACTGTCTTGTTCTTTCCCAGGCCTGGACTCGGCCATTCTCCAGGGAGCCTGGCTCCTTGGGATGGCGGGGGGTCTTAAGGGCCGGGGGTGGGTGGCGGCGTGCTCGCTGCCCCCAGGCTCTTCTGCAGACGAGAGCGCGGAGCTGTTCGGACACGGGGCTGTGCGCACACGCTTCCACGTGTCTGTCTGCGGCCGTCCACACCACACCTTGCACTCACACAGTATTTCCCAGTACAGAGATCATTCTCATCCACTCCCTTTCCAGAACCCCTCTCTCCAGCTGGGAGGACCTTGGCTTCCCTTGGTAGCGTGTTTGGCCAGTCACCGAGTGCAGCAGCTACCCCTGCCCCTTTGCAGACCTTGCATTGCCTTTTGGACTGAATCACTCAAGGAGGGACGCCCCCTCCCCCGCTTTGTATCTCTAGGGAGCTCAGAGAACTCGTGTCCTTGCGCCCCTGCCAGCCACACACTCTGTTCTTCACAAACAGTCCTGTTTGTTCCCTGGGTCCAGATGGGGGTGAGTGGGACAGAGCCTGTTTGGGGAGTGCGGCGTGGCAAGCACAAGGCACGCGCTGCCCTGTGCACTGAGCGTGCTCAGTCACCACGACTGCGGGGTGGGCGGCCTCTACCCTAGCAGGGAGGCAGACCCGTCCAGAATCCAGCAGCCTTTTCCTTCCCGTCCTTCAGCTACGGCCCTCCTGTGGCGGAGCTGGTGGGAGGCAGGAAGAGAAGAGGTTTGGCTTGACCAGTGGTTTTGGGTCCCCTCGGGGCTGCTTCCTTGAGGAGCAGGAGCCCTACAGCCCTCTCATGAAGGTCTGAGGGTCTGCAGTCTGTGATGCTGGAGGCTGGACTCAGCCCTGGTTCCTTCCCTCTCCAGACCCAGGCGGCCTGTCTATAGCCCGGGCCGCAGGGAGAGAGTGCTTGCCCTTGCCAACGTAAGAGGGGCCCAGGCTCCCAGGACTGTGGAGAGCACTGGGAGCCCTGCCCTGGGATCCAGCTGCTGGGAGGCTGTTGTCCTTGGACATATGCAGTGCGTGTGCATATGGGGGCTCTGCTGGGCCGGCAGTGCAGACCCACCTGAGCAACACCATGTCTGCACAAGGGAGCTGGTGACAGCTGCCAGCTCAGTAGCCCTCACTGCTGCACAGGTCCTAGGTGCTGTGAGAATGAGGAAGAAGCCCAGCCTGGTCGTGAGGGCCTGAACGTCCCCCCACCCCCCAGTTCTCACCCACTCCCGTCTGTCCCGGGTGCTCATTGCTGCACATTCAGGCACAGGAGTGGTGTGGACACAGGCTGCCTGTTGTGTAGACCAGGAGCTGAGACTGCCCCGCTGGCAGTGCGGAGTAAAGAAGCTAGACGGGAGCCTGTCCTCTCCCTCCCTGTCCAGCCTGGGAGCCCAGCAGCCCTGCCACCTGCTCAGTTTGGGGGCCAGTGTTCTGGGGCGGGGGTGGGATGGCTCCAAGGCCCCATGCCTTGGGGGTGCTAAAGGCAGCCTCTGCCAACAGGTCTCTGAGGATAGGCCTGCAGATCTCCCTGGACTACTGGTGGTGTACAAACGTCGTCCTGCGAGGGGTGGAAGAGGTTTGTCCCTGCACCCTAGCTACAGTGGGCAAGGCCTCTTGCTGGGGGAAGAGGGGGGACAGTGACACGCTAGATGAAGGTGGGTGCTGGAGCACGGAGGCGGCACCTGCCAGCCCCCATCCCTTCCCTCCATGCCTGTGGTCAGAACAGCCCGGGGTACTTGGAGGTGATGTCTGCGTGTCACCAGCGGGCAGCTGACGCCCTGGTCGCCGGGGCCATCAGCAATGGGGGCCTCTATGTGAAGCTGGGCCAGGGGCTGTGCTCTTTCAACCACCTGCTGCCCCCGGAGTACATCAGGACTCTGCGTGTGCTGGAGGACCGGGCCCTCACGCGTGGCTTCCAGGAGGTGAGCCCTGCTCTTGGGTTGGGGGCTGGGCAGTCTGGCAGCCTCCCTGCTGCCGCTCCGCCGGCTGCTCCGCGAACCCCCCGCCCCCTGCCAGGTGGACGAGCTGTTCCTCGAGGACTTCCAGGCCCTGCCCCACAAGCTCTTCCGGGAGTTCGACTACCAGCCCGTCGCGGCTGCGAGCCTGGCCCAGGTGCACCGAGCCACGATGCACGATGGCACGGAGGTGGCCGTGAAGGTACGCCGGGGCCTGTCCCGCGCTGCGGCAGGTCTGGGGAGGTGCCCGCGGCCCCAGGTCCTCCCCACAGCCTCGCCCACGCAGGTGCAGTACATCGACCTGCGGGACCGCTTCGAGGGGGACGTCCGCACGCTGGAGCTGCTGCTCTGGCTCGTGGAGCTCATGCATCCCAGCTTTGGCTTCAGCTGGGTCCTCCAGGTCAGCGCCGCCCGGAGGCGGGCCGGAGCAGGGGGGCGCACGCCCCGTGCTGGGGTGGGCCGGTCCCCAAGCCGGACCCTCAGCTGCCCGTGTGGCCCCCAGGACCTGAAGGGCACCCTGGCCCAGGAGCTGGACTTTGAGAACGAGGGCCGGAACGCCGAGCGCTGTGCACGGGAGCTGCGGCATTTCCGCTACATCGTGGTCCCCCGTGTGCACTGGGACGTGTGCAGCAAGGTGGGCTGGGCCCCTCCGGGGTGGGCACGTGCAGCCCGGCCAAGCTCAGCCACCTGCTCTCTCCCAGCGCGTGCTGACGGCTGAGTTCTGGGACGGCTGCAAGGTCAACGATGTGGACGCCATCAGAGGCATGGGGCTGGCGGCAAAGGATGTGAGTTCCGTGGGCGGGGTGGGCGGGGGTGGGCAGGCAGGTCACGGGTGGGGGGGTGTGCTACGTACCCAGTGGCGGTGGCCGGTCCCAACCTCCCCCAGATCGCGGAGAAACTCATCCAGGCTCTCGCGGAGCAGATATTTTACACCGGCTTCGTCCACGCGGACCCCCACCCGGGCAACGGTAGGAAAGGGCCTGGGTCTGGGAGCTGGAGGGTGGGGGTCGGAGCCCACAAGCTGACAAGCTGCATCCCTAGTTCTGGTGCGGAAAGGCCCCGACGGGAAGGCGCAGCTGGTGCTGCTGGACCACGGGCTCTACCAGTTTCTGGACGAGAAGTAAGCCAGCCACAGAGCCGGAGGGAGATGGTTCGGGGGCTGGGGCGGGGGGGTGCTGGGGCGCTGGGCCCGGCCTCACTGCTGGCTTCCCACAGGGACCGGGCGGCCCTGTGCCAGCTGTGGCGGGCCATCATTCTCCGGGACGACGCGGCCATGAAGGCACACGCAGAGGCCCTTGGGGTGCGAGGTGAGGCCGGGCTCTGCGGGTGTGGAGCTCTGGGGGGCACCCGGTCCCGGCTCACCCCCCGCCTGCAGACTACCTCCTCTTCTCCGAGGTGCTCATGCAGCGGCCCGTGCGCCTGGGCCAGCTGTGGCGCTCGCACCTGCTGAGCCGTGAGGAGGCGGCCTACATGCAGACCATGGCGCAGGAGCGCTTTGAGGCCGTCATGGGCGTGCTCAAGGCCCTGCCGCGGCCCATGCTGCTCGTGCTGCGCAACGTCAACACCGTGCGCGCCATCAACACCGCCCTGGGCACCCCCGTCGACCGCTACTTCCTCATGGCCAAGAGGTGGGTGCCGGCTGGCCAAGGCCCCGGGGGAGTGGTGGGGGAGTGGCAGGGCCTTGGCAGGAGGCAGTGGCCAGAGTGGGACCAGGCTGGGCTGACTTGTGACTCTGGGCAGCGCGGTCAGGGGCTGGAGCCGCCTGGCAGGTGCAGCGTACCAGAGCGTCTACGGGGCTAGTGTCCTGCGCCACATCAAGGTCATCTGGGAGATGTTCAAGTTTGAAGTGGCCTTAAGGTGAGACAGGAGGGGCAGGCATCCAGGGTGGGTGGCCGAGACTTGCTCCCCACCCACCCCTGACCCCCCTGCCCTTCCTCGCAGGCTAGAGACCCTGTCGATGCAGCTCAACGCCCTCCTTATTCGGCTCTTGGTCCAGCTGGGCCTCCTGCCCGAGACCCAGGGGCTTTCCCAGTACTTGGAGACCTAGGCAGTCCTGGGGCCAAGAGACCCTCAGGGCTGGTGCAGCGTCTGGCCCCACAGACCGAGACCTGGGGCGCCGAAGATGCTGTACCCTAGGTGGGCGGGGGCAGCACGGGAGTCAGACCACAGCCCGGCCAGGAGACCCAACAATGACCACAAGCTCTACTCAAACCAAACATCTTATTCCTCGTGTTTTGTACAAAAAGAGGTGGGGGCGGCGGCCTCTGGGAATCTAGAAGTGGGCGGTGACGCGGTCGGTCTCCAGCAGGTCGTCCAGGATCTGCAGAGAAAGGGGCTGGTGGGCGGGGGAGCGCGGGCTGGGGCGGGGGAGCGCGGGCTGGGGCGGGGGAGCGCGGCGTGGGGCGGCCGGCCGGGGCCTCACGATGTCCGGGGTGGTGCCGATCTTCTTGGCCAGCTCGCCACGCTCCATGGTGCTGAGGTACAGGTAGCGGTTCAGCAGCTCACCGTCCAGGACGTTGCGCACGGCGTTCTGCAGGGCGCGCCGGTCCGCGTGCAGCAGCCTGGGGGGACGCGCAGGCTCTAGGGTAGGGGCGGGGGGGGGCGGGGGGCGGGGGCCCGGTGGGCAGGGGGCGCACACACACCGGAAGGCCCTGGGGTTGAGGCCGGCGTGGTGGGGCAGCATGGTGGTCAGCGCGTTCTGCAGCATCAGCAGGCGTCGGTAGGTCTTCTCCTGCATGGGCAGCAGCAGCCCGATGCCGCCGTCCAGGGTGGCTGCGGGGGCCCCGTGTGAGCCAGGCCAGCGTGGCACCCCCCCCCTGCCCCGCCACGCGCCGTCGCTCCCCGCCGGCACTCACCAAACCACGTGATGTGCTTGTTCTCCCACACCACCGACTTCTTGCTGGGCCCCTCCGCGGCCCCGCGGCACGGCGTCCTCCAGAAGGTGTTCACATGGGCCCCCACGTGGAAGTCGGCGCGCCGCAGCAGGCGCAGGCCCCCGAAGCTCTCTTTGGCTGGGCCAGAGGGAGCTCCGCTCACTGCCCGCCCAGCGCCAGCCGCACAGGGGTGGGGGGGGGGGCTACTCACCTTCCGGCAGGTACATGTACACCATGAGGTTGCGGTCTCGGTCAGACACTGGGGAGCAGAGCCCAGGGTCAGCCTGGCCACCCCCGAAGCCTGCGAGCCCCGGATCCCCCGGGGCCCTGCGCTCACCCAGGAAGCCCAGCTGCGCGTTGTCCACCATGAAGTCCACACTGTACACCTCCAGCGGCTTGGCGTCCTGGGGGGGGGGGGGGGGGGGGGGTCAGGGTGGGCCGTGGCCGACCCCCACCCGGCTCGGGGCCGAGGCCGCGCACGCACCCTGGACACGAGGCTCAGCGTCTTGCTCTCCTCCTGGTAGCGCAGGAGCGAGATGCTTTTCATGACATCCGCGGCCAGGATGAAGTTCTTGACGCTGATCATCTGGTGGATGTAGAGCTGCGTGTCGATGAAGGCCATGCCCGTCAGCTCGCTGGCCCGCAGGCTCCACAGGAAAATCTGGGGGGACAGGGGCCACAGGTGACGAGGGCAGGCCGCAGGCCGGCCCCAGGGCGAGAGGGAGAGCGCAGACCTTCTGGCCAATGGCGGACACCAGGTGGCCGTTGCAGTGACACAGGGCGGTCACCGGCCCCTTCTGCTCCTTCTCATACAGGACTTTGAACTTGTTCTTGGTCAGGGGCTGGCCAGGCTCAGGCACCACCTCAATCACATCCATGATCAGGATCTGCCGGGTGTGGGGGGAGGATGATGTGCAGGGAAGGGGCCAGGACTGCCAGGCACCGCCCATCCCCACCGGCTGGCCCCTTACCCGCCCTCGGCACGTGACCTCCTCCCCCTGCATAAGGCAGGTCCCAGCAGCCACATAGCCCTTGAGGCCCGACACGGTCTCCTCGCTGCGCAGCGACACCGTCTTCATGCAGGTCACGTGCTCCCACTCCTCCAGCTCGATCCTGCGCGACGCAGGGTGAGGAAGCTGCCCGCTGGCCGCCAGGCCCCACCCGGCCGGCCCAGCCCAGCCCAGCCCAGCCTGGTAGCCCCACCTGGCATTGGGGATGGCCTCCCAGCTGACCGGGGAGATGAGCTGGATGGAGAAGGCCTCCTGCTGGGGGTGGACGTACCGGTCGTCTGCAAGGACACAGGGTGCTGGTCAGGGAGGGCAGCCCAGCCAGCCCGCCCCTCCCCGGGCATCACGCACCTCTCTCGATGGCCTCGAACTCCTTCTCCTCGCCGGTCATGCGCGGAATGCGGGTGCACGGCATGTTGGTGCTGGTGGCGACAGCATAGACCTGAGAGGGCAGAGCGTGTCACAGGCGCCCGGGGGCCGTGCCCAGAGGGGCCCTGGCCCGAAGAGAATGGGGTCAGACCTTGGACTCCACATGGTAAGCCACGTAGTGGGCTGTGCAGCGCAGTGGGATCTTCCTGACTGGCCACGGGGCGTCGTAGGACAAGTAAGCGGGCAGGACGCTGATCCTCAGCTCGCCCTGGCGGGTGGGGGGAGGAGCTGGTGAGGCCCGGCGCCCGCCAAGGGCAGGGCAGGCAAATTTGGGCTCCCGAGGGCTCCACACTGCCAGCCCTCAGCTCTGCCAGAACGGGGTGTGCACGGGGCGGAGACTTGCTGGCCCGTGCTTCACGGCCCCCCATCCTTTCTCCCGGGCTCACGCCGGGCCGGGACCCTGGCCACAGACATGGTTGGGGCCCAGAGGAAGCCGCAGGCCGCACAGCAAAGGTTACCCACATACCAGCCATGCTGGAGTCGGTACAGACAGACGAGGGGACCCCTACTGCCCCCGACCCAGCCAGTGCCCTAAGTGCACATCCAGACCACCTGCCCCTTCTCATCACGAGTCCTCAGACCGGCCTCACAGATGAGGAAACAGGGCTCAGAGAGGGTGAGCACCTTGCCAGAGTCCCAGCTCCTGGAGGGCACGGCAGTGACCAGCGCTGGCCCCGCAAACAGGCGCCTCGTGGGCTGCAGCCGCCACTCCCGCCCGCCGTGTCCCCCAACCTCTCCGCGTCTCACCTCTTCGACCTTGGCCTTGTCCACCTGCTGGATGCCCCTCAGGGTCCCCGGCACCTCCTCCTGACCCAGGCAGGGCAACATGGGGCAGCACGAGCCCTGGGGTCTCCCTACCTGTCTGTTGAAGTACAGGAAGCCTCGGGGGCAGTTGACGTTGTGGAAGGGGGCAAAGGAGTCAATGGGACCGTCGATGCCCATGGGGTGCAGCCGCAGGGCCCCCCGGCCCGTCACCAGGAGCCAGTGAGGCGAGGGGCCACAGATGAAGACCTGAGGGCAGGCGCTGTGAGGGGCGGCCCAATCTGCCCCTCCCCGTGCGCCCCCCAGAGCCGCCCGCCTACCCCTGAGTAGCCATAGATGTCCTCAAAGTACCGGAACCGGGCCACACGGCCACGGGCCCCAGCCCCCTCCTCGGCGCCGCCGCCCTCCGCTTTCTTCTTGGACGGCTTTGGCTTCTTCTCCCGGAAGTTGATGTTGTGAGGGACCTGGAGGGGTGGAGCGCCATGAGGGCCAGGTTGTGTCCCCCAACCCCGTCCCACATCCACCCCACGCCCCGCTGGGCCCGCTCACCACACCTTCTTGAAACGGACTTTGAGGTTTCCCTGGCCAAGCTGGGAGTCGTGGGGGAAGGCCTCGTAGATGAGCAGCTCCTGGTCCACGTGCACCTGGGGGCAGCACGGGGTCGGCAGGGGAACGGGGGCACCCGGCCGGGCCGTCACGGGGCACGCAGCCCGCACTCACCAGCAGGTAGGGCCTGCTCTGACGGCTCCCCAGCGCCACCAGCAGCACCTCCTTGACGAGCGGCAGCTCCCCCTGGCGCGTGGCCTCCTCCTTTCGGGCCTCGCCCTGCGTGGTGGGCTGACCGAAGGAGCTGTCCACCAGGACCCGCTGCCCCACGGGGAAGTTCTTCACCAGGAACACCAGCCTCCAGTCAGGCAGCTGGTAGATCTGCACGGGGAGCGGGGTCAGCAGCCACGGGAAGCCCCAGGAAGCCACGGGAACGGGGGCAGGGGCCCGCACTGGCACAGGGCCTCACGCACCTCCATGGTTCCGTTCTCCCGCACCAGCAGGCACCAGTGGGTGGGCTCGACGCGGAACGGGGTGGGGTCCCGGTCCACAGGGGCCTGGCTGCTCCTGCGGGCCTCCTCCTTGCTGGGGCTGAAGAGGGAGCCCGAGTCCCCGTACAGCATCTCCTCCTCGTCGTCCACGGTGGGGCTAGAGACGGGCAGGCACACGAGTCACACGTGGCCCACCACAGGGCCCCTGACCCCAGCCCAGGCCCCGGCTGCCCCCACGTACCTGGTTTCCGAGCCCTGCCCCTCGGCCTCGGAGCCACTGCGGCCCCCCAGGTCATCGCGGGCCCCGCCCAGGCGGCTCTCGGTAGTGAACATGCCGCTGACGTCTCGGTACACGCACAGGGTGATCACCTTGGACTGCTGCGGGGACAGGGCAGGGGCTCAGCACGGCAGAAGCAGGGGGGCCTGCAGGCCACGGGCACGGCCGGGAGCTTACGTGGTGCAGGGGTGGCTTGTGCAGCGCCAGGCGGTGGTGACGGCCCCCATACGAGTCACTCTTGAGCAGGAACATGGTGACGTGGCCCTCAGCACTCATGATGACCACGTAGGGGTCGGCCACGGCGCACTGCACGATGGGCGAGCCCAGGTCCACGGGGATGAAGTGCAGCTGGCTCACTGCGGGCGGGGACGGTCAGCGCCGCACGGGCTCCCACACCCTCCCTGCCGCCCGCCGCCCGCCGCACCTACCTCCTTCCAACAAGCGGATGCCAAGCGGCGACACCTGCACAATGTAGCGACCGTCCCCGATGTTGCCAGCGAAGACCGTGGGGCCCTGTGTGGCAAAGCCACTGGTGTCCAGCTCCATGATCTCTTGCCCTGTCTGCAGGATCTGCGAGCGACAGGGGGGTAAGGCACACCCCACAGCGGGACCCCGCCCCAGGCTGCCGGACCCCCACCCCTCACCATGGTGGAGTCTTCCCG